CCCTTGTCCTAAAATTAGAACTTGTTTCTAGCTAGCTTCAACCTATTTCTATTACTTACTCCGAATTACTTATTCTTATTATTGCAGATTCGAGTTTTGTTCCGCCATTAATATACGCAGTGTTGGGAAGCTCAAAGCACTTGGCGGTGGGGACGGTGGCAGCATGCTCGTTGATCATAGGTGCCACCGTCGGAGAGGCCGTCAACCCAGAAAAGAATCTGGAATTGTATCTCAGCTTGGTCTTCACTGCAACCTTTTTCTCCGGTCTACTTCAAATTACTCTAGGCATACTCAGGTAAATTGGAAGTGATTATATTATAAAACTGTGTCAATGAACCAGCTCAACCAAAAGCTCAAGCTTATGATGTGGCCCCTATTTCTTATATTCTAACACGCCCTCTCACGTGCAAGCGTAATCCTTTTTTCGAGAATTGCATGTGAAACCTTAATTTTTTTAAAACTGGGTGGCGTTGAGTTTCGGCGACCTCTTACCCAACAAGACTCCGATACCCATGTCAATGAACCAACTCAACCAAAAGCTCAAGCTTATGGTCCGTCCCATGAAATGTTTCTTATATTCTAACAAATTGTCTATGCAATTGTAGAATATATAAACTAATGTTAAAATTTGGGCATTAATTATTTAGAATAATAATGGAGTATATGAATGAGCTAGGTTGGGAATATTGGTGGATTTTTTGTCACATTCAACCATAGTTGGGTTCATGGGAGGGACGGCAGTGCTGATATGCTTGCAGCAGTTGAAGGGAATGGTTGGGTTGAAGCACTTCACCACCCGAACCGACGTCGTCTCCGTCCTCCGCGCCGTCTTCTCCCAAACACATCAGGTGTACCACCTACCTCATTTAATCTATTCCCGTCCTAAAATATCGTTATAATTAATTTGTGGTTAAACAGTGTCATAATTTGACCCAAAAAATATAAATAAAACTTTAATATGTACTCCGTATATATTAATGTTTCGTAAATGTAACATAATTTAATATGTTTTTGAAGGTGAAGAATTGTATTTTCATTAATTAATTATGTGAGGTGTACATGTATATATATACAACATCTCAATCCTAGTTATGGTAGGAGAGGTATTCTAGGGAAGCTATACAAGTATGGAAACAAATCATAATACAATAATATTAAATATATTTAATATATTTAACATGCTCCCGGCTACGTCGGATGTGCTGGGGGTCGGATACCCAGGCTTTCTCTGAAGTCCAGAAATAAGAGAGAGGGCAGTCCTTTTGTGAAGATATCGGCGAACTGAGAGGATGAAGGAACATGGAGGACTTTGATCTGGCCAAGCGCCACTTTATCGCATACAAAGTGTATGTCAACCTCGACGTGCTTGGTGCGCTGATGTTGCACCGGATTTGATGATAGATAGACAGCACTAACATTGTCACAAAAGACGAGTGTGGCGCGACGGAGTGGTTGTTGCAGCTCAAGAAGAAGATTCCGGATCCAGCAGGTCTCTGCAACAGCATTGGCAACGGCTCGATATTCTGCCTCGGCGCTAGAACGACCTGGCGTTTGGAAGACCAGGAGACGAGGTTGTCGCCTAGAAAGACACAGTAACCGGATGTGGAGCGTCTGGTGTCGGGGCAGCCAGCCCAATCAGCATCGGAGTAAGCCTGTAAATAATCAGTGGCGGATCGTGTCAGATGGATCCCGTGGGTGGCAGTGCCACTAAGATAGCGAAGAACTCGCTTCATGGCAGTAAGATGTGAATCGCGTGGTGCATGGAGGTGTAGACAGAGCTGCTGAACTGCATATGTGATATCAGGACGAGTGAAGGTGAGGTACTGCAGTGCACCGACAATGGACCTGTAAAAGGACAGGTCGGAGAGCGCCGAACCCGCGGTGCTAGATAGTTTTGCCTTCGTGTCTACTGGGGTAGAGATGGGGCGGCAAGAGACCATCCCTGCCCGCTCAAGTATATCATGAGTAAACTGAGTCTGGTGGAGGAAGAGTCCGGTGGCTGTGCGTTGGACATTGATCCCAAGGAAAAAATGTAGGTCGCCCATGTCTGTCATAGAGAATTCAGCCTTGAGCTGCTGAATGAGACTCTGAAGCAGTGCCGGGGAGGATGCTGTGAGTACAATGTCATCAACATATAGGAGCAGGTATGCTGTCCCAATAGGCTGAGAGAAGGTGAATAGGGAAGTGTCGGCCTTGCATCTTCGGAAGCCAATAGTCTGTATGAAACCTGCAAACCTGTGAAACCAAGAGCGTGGGGCCTGCTTAAGACCATAAAGAGCCTTCTTGAGTTTGCAAACATAATGAGGGCGAGTGGGATCCTGAAACCCAGAAGGCTGGCTGGCATAAACGGTCTCCTGTAGCTGACCATGGAGGAACGCATTTTTGACATCAAGTTGGTGAATGGGCCATCCACGAGACAGAGCAAGGCTGAGGACGATACGAACAGTGGCAGGCTTGACAACGGGGCTGAAGGTCTCGTCATAATCAACGCTAAAACGTTGGTTGAAACCGCGGACCACCCAACGGGCCTTGTACCTGGATAACTCACCTGAGGGACCAAATTTGTGTCTAAAAAGCCATTTACCGGTGATAAGGTTTTGGGAGGGGGAGGGGGGTACTAATTCCCATGTGTCATTCTTTATCAAGGCATTAAATTCATCACACATAGCAGCATGCCAGTTTGGATCTTTTAGTGCACTACGGTAGGTTGGGGGTAAAGGAGAGATGGGGACAGAAGTGTTAAGGTTGAGAATTTGTTTGGGGCAGAAGACACCGGCTTTGGAGCGGGTTTGCATGGGGTGGTTGTTT